ATCAGCATCATCATCATCATCATCATCATCATCATCGTCGTCAGCATCATCAGCATCAGCATCATCATCAGCATCGTCGTCGTCATCACCAGCATCAGCATAAGCATCATCATCCGCATCAGCAGCATCATCGTCATTATCAGCAGCATCATCATTATCAGTATCACCGTCAACATCATAATCAGAATCATCATCATCATCATCATCATCATCAGCATCATCATCATCGTCATCATAAGCAGCAGCGGCATCATCAGCATCGTCATCATCATCATCAGCAACATAGTCATCATCAGCATCATCATTAGCGGCATCACCACCATCAGCATCAGCATCATCATAACTATCATCAGCATCAGCAGCATCAGCATCATCAGCATAATCATCATCATCAGCAGCAGCATCAGCATCAGTATCAGCATCATCAGCATCAGCATCATCAGCATCAGCATCAACATCATCATCGTCATCAGCATAATCATCAGCAGCGACATAATCATCAGCATCATCATCACCTTCATCCGCATCAGCATCGTCATCATCATCATCAGCATCACCATCATCGTCATCAGCAACATCATCATCATCATCATCATCATCATCATCATCATCATCATCATCATCATCATCATCGGCATCATCATTAGCATCGTCATCATCATCAGCATCATCAACAGCAGCATCATCACCATCATAATCATCAGCATCATCATCAACATCATCATCATCATCATCATCCTCATCAGCATCATCATCATCCGTCTCCCCCCCCCTACTCCTACTCCTCTTCATCCCACTCCTCCTCCTCATCATCATCATCATCCTCATCCTCACCCGCATCCTCCTCGTCCGCCTCAGCATCATCATCAGCAGCAGCAGTATCAGCATCAGCATCCTCATCATCATCGTCCTCCGCCTCTGTCTCCACCTCCGACTCGGCCTCCGCCTGCGCCTCCCACTCCTCGTCCTCGTCTTCTTCGTCTTATTATTATTCCACCTCCTCCTCCTCCTCCTCCTCCTCCTCCTCCTCCTCCTCCCCCTCCCCCCCCCCCATCATCATTATCATGATCATCATCATCATCCTCCTCCTCCAGCTCCTCCTCATCCTCGTCCTCCTCATCCTCCAGCTTCTCATCCGCCTCCTCCTCCTCATCCTCCTCCTCCTCATACTCATCCTCTTCCGCACCCTCTTCCTCCTCATACTTCTCCTCCTCCACCTCCTCCTCCGCTCCTCCTCCCCCATTATTCTCCCTCCTCCTCCTCCTCCTCCTCCCCTCCTCCTCCTCCTCCTACTCCTGCTCCTCACCCTCCTCTTCCCCCTCCTCCTCCTCTTCTTCCTCCTCATCCTCCCCTTCCTCCTCCCCCATCCTCCTCATTCCTCATATTATTTCACCTTCCTCCTGCACATCCCACTCCTTCTCCTCCTCGTCCTCCTCCTCATCCTCCTCCTCCTCTCCGCCGTCTCCGCCTCCGCCTCTCCTCCGCCTCCGCCTCTGCCCCCGCAGCCACCTCCTCCTCCTTCTTCTCCTCCTCCTCCTCCTCCTCCTCCTCCTCCTCCTCCTCCTCCTCCTCCTCCTCCTCCTCCCCCCCCCCCTCCTCCTTCTCAGGCTCCTTCTCCTCCTCATCTTCCGTCTCATCCTCATATTGCTCGTCCTCTTCCTCATCTTCCTCGCCATCCTCGTCATAGACGCCGCATTGTGCTTCGTAGTATCATTCGTGCCCGTGGTAGTACTGTTAGTACGATGCGTAATGAAAGTATTGTTCGTAGTGTTCGTCTTGTTTTCTGTATAATAGTAGGCACCGTGGTCTTCGTAGTACCCGTTGCATTCGTACCATTAGCCGTAGGCACCGTATTCGGTTTCATCGTAGTTTGGTTATAATTATGGTTATGGTTATGATGGACCGCCTTAGTATCAGTCGTAGTACCAATGTTGTTCTTACTAGTCGTAGTAGGAGTCGTACTCTTGGCAGCTTTATGCGTATGACTCGTTTGGTCGTTATTAATATCGTATGTTGTTTTGTTATTGTTCGTCTTAATAAGATTGTTCGTGTTGGTCGCACGTCTACGTTATCCTTCGTAGTGTTAGCATCAGAATCCGCATTAGCAGTACAGTGGCACGATTGTAGGTATGCTCATCAATACTTTTACTAGTAATGATCGCCCTTTAGCGTTAGTATTATTGCTGGCATGTTTTCATGCTTCCTCATCATCATCAGCCTCCTCCTCCACATCTTCCTCCACCCCCTCCTCCTCTTTCTCATCCTCTCCCTCCTCCTCGCCCTCCTGATGCTGATCCTCCTCCTCCTCCTCCACCTCATCCTTCTCTTCCTCTTCTTCCTCCTCCTCCTCCTCCTCCGCCGCCGCCGCCACCGCATCCCCCCCCCTCCTCCTCCTCTTCTTCCTCCTCCTCCGCCACTTCCACCTCCTCCTCATCAGCATCATTAGCACCATAATCATCATCATCATCATCAGCAGCATCATCATCATCATCGTCGTCGTCATCATCAGCGTCAGCATCCTGGTCGTGTTCCTCATTATCCTCCTCCTCATCATCATCGGCATCATCATCATCCTCATCACAACCACCACCACCATCACCATGACCATCACCATCATCATCGTCATCAGCATCATCATCATCAGCATCGTCATCATTGTCATCACCATCAGCATCATCATCAGCATCATCATCAGAATCATCAGAAGCGGCAGCAGCATTAAAATCGTCGTCATCAGCATCAGCATCAGCATCATAAGCACCATCAGCAACACATCATCATCAACAACAGCATCAGCATCAGCATCAGCATGAGCATCATCATCATCACCATCAGCATAATCGTCATCAACCTCATCAGCATCACCATCATGATCATCATCATCATCATCGTCGCCAGCATCATCATCATCATCATCAGCATCATCATCATCAGCGTCGACATCATCATCATCAGCATCATCACCATCGGCAACAGCATCGTCATCGTCATACGCATCATCATCACCAGCAACATCATCATCAGCAGCAGCATCATCTTCATCGTCATCACTGACATCCTCATCAGCATCAGCAGCATCAGCATCATCATCATCATCATCCACATCATCATCATCATCATCAGCAGCATCATCATCAGTGTCACCATTACCATCATCACCACCATCATCAGCACCATCATCAGCAGCAGCATCAGCATCGTCACCATCATCGTCATCATCATCAACATCATACTCAGCAGCATTAGCATCAGCATCATCATCAGCAGTAGCTTTGTCAGCATCTCCATCATCATCAGCATCATCGTCAGCATCATCAGCATCAGCATAGTCGTCAACATCATCATCCTCATCAGCAGCATCATCAGCATCATCAGCAGTCTCAGCACCGTCCTCATCATCATCAGCAGCAGCATCCGCATCCGCATCCTCGTCCACATGGTCAACCTCATCATCATCGTCATAATCATCATCGTCAGTAACATCACCATCATCATCATCGTCACCCTCATCCTCATCAGCATCAGCAGCATCAGCATCAGCATCAGCATCATCAGCGTCATCATTATCATCAGCAGCAGCATTGTCAGCATCTCCATCATCATCAGCATCATCATCATCATCATCATCATCATCATAATCATTATCATCATCAGTATCATCATCATAATCATCATCATCATCGTCATCATCATCACGATCATCATCATCGTCATCATCATCATCCTCATCATCAGCATCATCATCATCAGCATCAGCATCAGCATCAGCATCATCGTCATCACCATCAGCAGCAGCATTGTCAGCATCTCCATCATCATCAGCATCATCGTCATCATCATCACCATCATCATCATCATCATCATCGTCATCATCAGCATCATCACCATCAGCATCAGCATCATGAGCAGTCTCGGCATGGTCCCATCAGCAGCAGCATCATCACCCTCGTCCCCACCCACATCCTCATCCTCATCTTCAGCATCATCATTGTCATCATAATTATCAGCAGCAGCAGCAGCGTGGTCAGCATCAGCAGCATTAGCATCATCATCAGCAGCAGCATCAGCATCATCATGAGCATCATCATCAGCAGCAGCGTCATCAGCATCATCAACGACATCATCACCAACACCATCATCATCAGCATCAGCATTATCATCATCAGAATCATCATCATCATCGTCGTTATCATCATCATCATCATCATCATCATCATCATCATCGTCGTCGTCGTCGTCGTCATCAGCAGCAGCAGCATCATCGTCATCGTCATCGTCATCGTCATCATCATCATCATCATCATCATCATCATCATCACCATCATCATCATCTTTCAGGGGGAGCTGGAGAAAGGCAAGAGACGGCGACGCCGACACCGACGACGACGTCGACGAGCTCGCGTGTCTCCTGCTGGCGGGCGCGACCACCTACGACGAGCAAGCGTCCTCCGAGGACATCCGAGGGCTTCTGGGGCATCCGAAAGCCTCCGAGGACATCCGAGCCTCCGAGTGCCTCCGAGTGGGGGGGGCCCTCCGAGTGCATCCGCTTCCCGCCGCGCCCCCAGGAGGCCCGACGAGGACGGCGTCGTGCTCCCCAAGCCACAACGGTGCCGATCGCAAAACAAACGCCGGCGTGACCATACCATTTGTAGTCGCCGAGCTGACATCACTGGCACCAGGCAGGATCCGCAGATGCAGGACAGGCAGGAGAAGGAGGAGGAAGAAGGGGAGGAGGAGCATGCAGGATTCGAGGAGAGCAGGGACGCCTAGCTACATGCATTGGCAGCCCCTCCTAAGCAAGGAGGGGACGGCCGCCAGCCACCTAGGCCACTAGAGGGTAAACCTCTGGCCGGTGTTAGGCTAGGCCGTAAAGGCACCGATACCGCCACTCCCCCGACCTCTCATGGGGTGCGTTCTGACCAGGATCTCAAGACGAATCCAGCAGTGGCGACGAGGGCCTCCAGGGAGGGCGAAAAAGAGAAAAACGAGGTAAGGGTAGCGGGGTGGGTACCTTCCATGAGATCCGACATTCCTTCAAAACAACTACGAAGAAGCCCCCCAAAAAAAGAACGCAAGAGATCACGACCAGAGCCCCGGACACCATCTTTCTGCTTCGCTTTCGAGCTGGATCGATCCGAGGGCCCTGGGGCCCGAAAAATGAAGCCATAAAGCCCGTCGCGAAAAAATGGCATTGCTAGGATCTCAGGGTCCCTAGGCCCAATCTAAGGGCAGCGGTACGGTGGAGGTTTCAGATCAGGATACCTTCGATAAGGAACCCAGGGTCTCGCGACCGATGGGCGGCCAAACGTGGGCCACCCACCTCGCCCTGAAGCAAGAAGGCATGCGCCAGCGCCTGGGCCCCAGGAAGACGCTCCTTATCCAATGCCGCCGCCGTACAGTAGGAGCTCGACCACAAGAAACCTTCCACAAGAAACCCAACCCTGAGACCCCAGCACGTTCACTGGTTTCTGGTGTTGGAACGTCACGCTTCCCATCGCAAAACCGCCGAAACCCAAGAAACCAAGGGCACCCTGAAGGCAAGCAGGGTGTTCCTTGGCACTGACTTCCACTGCATGGGCACCTCCTCCTGCCCTGCACCAGAAAAAGGGCCCGTCCTGCCGGCGGGCGCGAGGCTTCCGCTGGACCCGTACAGCGACCCGGCGCTGCCGCCCCCGCGCGAGTCGAGCGCCCCCGCCGGCCACGGGCAGGCCCGCGCCGCAGGCCGCGGGCTGCGCGCGCGCGGAGGTCGCCGCCGCCGCCGCCGCCGGATCGAGGGTCGAGGGTCGAGGGTCGACGGAGGAGAGGAGGAGAACAGGGGAGAGGAGGAGGAGGAGGAGGAGGAGGAGGAGGAGGAGAACAGAGGAGAGGAGGAGGAGGACGAGGAGGAGGAGGAGGAGGAGGAGAAGGAGGGTCGAGGGTCGAGGGTCGAAGGTCGAAGGTTGAGGGTCGAGGGTCGAGGGTCGAGGGTCGAGGATCGAGGATCGCGGATCGAGGATCGCGGATCGCGGATCGAGGGTCGAGGATCGAGGATCGAGGGTCGAGGATCGAGGGCCGAGGGCCGAGAGTCGAGGATCGAGAGTCGAGTCTGGGGCCCCAGCGACCCTCGGGGTCCGTGGGTGGGGCAGAAGCAGCTGAGCGAAGGAGAACGACCCAGGTCGAAACAAGAGCCTGCGGGTCGCGACCCCTGACCCAGGCGACGGAAGAACGAGCACGGCGGCGACGAAAAACAACACCACCACGCGCTCCAGGTTCTGCCACCCGTGTGCCCGAGCTGACAGGGAAGGAGGCAGAGGAGAAGGAGGAGGAGGATGTGGAGGAGGAGGAGGAGGAGGAGGAGGAAGAGTAGGAGGAGGGGGAGGGATCGAGGGTCGAGGGTCGAGGGTCGAGGGTCGAGAGTCGAGGGTTCAGGATGTAGGATCAAGGATCGAGGATCGAGGATCGAGGGTCGAGGATCGAGCGTCTAGGATCTAGGGTCGAGGGTCGAGGGTCGAGGGTCGAGGGTCGAGGATCGAGGGTCGAGGGTAGAGGGTCGAGGGTCGAGGACCGAGTCGAGGAGGCTCTTCAGGCTCTTGAGGGCCGCTTCGGCCCACAGGACAGTCTGAACGCGATCGGGAGTGAAGAGCCAGACCCAGTTTCGGGCCGAGGGGTCGTCGCCGATCGAGGTCGAGGACCGAAGGTCGAGGCTCAATGACCCAGGCATGTGGATGGCTCTGGCTGGATCTTGGGCCTCCGGGGGCGCCCTCGTGGCCACGGTCGGGCCGCCTCGACAGTCTCCGTTTCTTCCTGATGAAACACCCGGCGGCAAAAACTGCCGGCTTCCCAACCGAGTGGGCAGCGCGGTTGCCCAAAAAGGACTGGGAGGAGGAGGAGGAGGAGGAGGAGGAGGAGAAGGAGGAGGAGGAAGAAGACGAGGAAGACGAGGACGAGAACGAGGACGAGGACGAGGAAGAGGAAGAGGAGGAGGAAGACGAGGAGGAGGAGGTGGAGGGGGAAGGGGGAAGGGGGAGGGGGAGGGGGGGGGGAGGGGGAGGGGGGGGGGGGGAAGGGGGAGGGGGAAGAGGAGGAGGAGGAGGAGGAGGAGGCGGAGGAGGAGGAGGAGGAGGAGGGGGAGACAACGAGCGTAGGGAGAGTGCGGGTTCCCGCCGACCCACAGCCTGAGATGCGGGCAGAGGACGGCGTGGGCGCTCCTGCCTCGACATTGTCGCAGGCGCGGGGAGGAGGAGGAGGAGGAGGAGGAGGAGGAGGAGGAGGAGACGGAGGGGGAGGAGGAGAGAAGGAGAGAGAGAGAGAGAGAGAGCGCGAGGGAGAGCGAGAGACATGCAGGCATATACAGGCAAATAACAATATGCACGTATATACATATTCATTATTTAAACAATCAAGTCTATATACATACATATATATGTGTACACTACAAAGCGTGAAAGTGCATATACATACAATTGCACAAACACATACCGATGTACAAGTACAAATGAATGTACGCTTCCAAGCGCACATCCGTATACATGTACATGTGCATGTACACAAACATGAAAGGATATATATTTGTATACAATAACATAAACACCTACACATACAACATATAGACATACTTTCCCGTAAACCTATATGCATACATATGCATATACCTACAGCAAGGTATATACCTATGCATCCACGCATGCATGTACTTAGACAAGTACACATGCATATATATACATAGACGGATCACTACACGTATTCATGCAGCTACGCAAGCAGATACTGTAGCACAAAAAATCGTTTCGACTTCAACATATACATATACGCGGACAGTTACACATAAATGTACACATACCTAAAGATGTACACGTTATCAAACTTAAAAACAGATACGTTTATAAATACACACAAACCAAAAAAAACTTATGTATGTACACATAGATATATACGTACACAAACAGATACACACATATGTGTACGTGTATAAATACATAAACACAAACTCAAACACACATGCATGTATGTATGCATACACGTTACATATATGTATACGTATACATATACATATACATATACATATACATGCACAAATATACATGCACGAATGCATATACGTAGACATATACAGAGAGAGGAGGGAGGAAGATATCATATCCAGATGCAGAGGGAGGCATGCGTACATCGCGATGCACTTCCATTCCCAAGTACGTCGCACGACTTACCTGGTACCTGCTCACGTTCTGAGCCGTCTTGCACCGTCTGCCCCGTCTCGTACCTCAAAAAATCGACAACAGACTCGAGTACAGTGGCATCCAGTGCCACTGTACTCGACACCCTAGGGGTCGTAAGCGTCGGTGACCGACGCTTACGACCCCTAGGGTGCTGTTCAGCAATCTCCTGGAAGCTAGCATACTTTCCGAGCCTCCGTGCAAACGCCCTGGGCGGTACGTACGGGAGTCTCCCAGCGATCGGTCAAAAATCTGTCAGACATTTGGCACACGAACTTAGCTCAATCGCTTCGGAATCGCTAGCCTGGCTGTCTTCCAAAATCAATCAATCAACTGATTCCCACCTCTTCACAGCCGATTGGGCGAACATCGCGGGGAAAACGCAACGCGCAGTGATGCACTGGAAGGGAGACACGGGACGAGGAAGGGTAGGAGGGGAGGGGGAGCAGGACAGAGGAAAGCCCACGCCGCTCTTCTTCTCCACTTCCTCGTCGTCCGCGTCGCCGTCCTCCTCTTCCTCCTCCTCACATCCCCCCCTCCTCTCACGCCGGCGCCTCCGTCGCCGACGGCGACGACGACACCGACAACAACAACGACGATGACGGCGGCGCTAAAGGCGAATGCGACGACGACGACGACGGCGACGACGACGACGGCGACGACAACGACGACGACGGCAGCGGCGGCGCTGGCGTTGGCGACCAGCGGCAGCGGCGGCGGCGTCGGCAGAGCGAGGCCCATCGCAGGCGGGAGGCCTCACGGCGGCGGTGGCCCGCGCCTGGGCGCACGGCAGCGGAGACACCTGGCGAGCGGGCGGCACCAGTGGGGGGGGGCGCGGGCGAAAGGGGGAGGCACGAGAGGGGGGAGGGGCCGAGGAGGAGGAGAGGAGGAGAAAGGATGATAGGAGGAGGGGGAGAAAGGAGGATAGGAGGAGAAGGATGATAGGAAGTGAAAGGATGATGGGAAAAAAGGGAGAAGTTACTCATAAGGCAAGGGACTGGAGGAGGAGGAGGAGGAGGAGGAGGAGGAGGAGGAGGAGGCGGAGACGAGGACCACAGCAAACCCAGCAAACCCAGGATGCCGCAGTGATGCTGCAGCACACCCTCCCGCCGCAAGTCCCATCTCCCCGCAAGTGCCGACACGCATCCCTGCCCACACGGGACACCCGCCACCCGAGAGAGAGACGAGAGCCCCAAGGGCCTCCCAGTCACGGGAGCACTGCAGGCTTTGAAAAGGAACCGCCATCCATCTTCATGGCTGCCAGACAAGCCCCTGGCTCAAGGGCGCTTGAGCGCCAGCTCCCCTCCGGGCCGGCCTCCGCCGCTTTCGGGAGCGCGCGTGGGATGGCGGGCGCCAGCGGCGCGATGGCTGCGGCCCTTGTGGACGCGGCCGCCTCTGCTGCTGCATGGGCAGGTGCCCCACGACGCACCGTCGCAGCCGCTGGGGCTGCCGTGGCCCAGGCGGTCATGGCGGCCTGGTGTGGCGATGGAGCGCGTGGAGGCGCCGCCGAGGATGTTGCTGCTGCCGCGGCCTCGCAGCGGCGGCGGAGGAAAAAGAGGAAGAACCTGACGGGTCGCCAGGCGAACGACGACGAGAAGGCGTACGAGGAACAGAGTCCGGCGCAGGAGGCACTGCCCCGTGGGGGCGTGGCTGGGCCGCCAGCGCCAGAGCAGCACATGGAAGTGGACAACTGGCTGCCAGATCTCGGCGACGATGGTGGCCAAGAGGATCCCCAGGAGATGGAGGTCGAGGGTCGGTGGCCTGGGGAGCCCCCCGACAAGAGGCTGACCTACCGTGCGATCTGGGCGCAGCGTGGGCAGCCGCGCGCGGGCGCGGCAGCGATTCCCAGACCTCCCGAGGTGTTTCTTCCGCGATGCAAGGCTCAAGAAGCCCAGGCCGCGGTGGAGCCACAAGGACGGCGTGTGGCTTTTCGCTGTCCAGGACGACGCCCCTGACCGTGCGCTGGCCAGCGCAGATCTTGCGCAGATCTTGCAGATCCTTCGGGGAGATCACCAAGGTACCGCTGGCGCTGCCCAGCGGCTCTGGGCGGTGAGACTGCAGGGAAGGTGCATAGCGAACTCATCTTGTGCACCATCGTTTAGTTTTGAATGGACCTTATCGTCAGTCGTGGGGTCATTGAGGCATGTGGCCCCCAGGGAAGACTACTAAAGGCCGCATTCGCACCACCAGGCCTTGAAGCTGCACTTCACGGCGAGGTCATCACGAGGGCCCTCGCCGTAGTTAACATAATGATTGCCTGGCTGTCAGAAGTGACGGGCACGTCCCTCTACAGGCGGATTCTGGAAGAAAACTGGAAAATGCTCAAAAAATGACAAAAATGATCAAAAAAAGAACTAGAAAAATCGTCCCCAGGCTATTGTTTGACTATGTTTGAATACTCCTCCTGTCGAGGGACATGCCCGACTTAACCTTCGTCGGAGTCCACCTACTGGCTTCCTGGCTGTCAGAAGTGCCGCGGGGCAGGGCCACTGCACCGGGTGGGACGGAGGGGGAGCCAGGAGGACCAGGGAGAGGAGCGGGCGGGAGGAGAAGCCGCGAGAGAGGGCGGGAGAGGGGGGGGGGGGGGGAGGAGGACGATGAGGAGAGGTGAGGGGGAGGAGGAGGGGGAGAGGGCGACGAGGACGGACGGGGACGGGATGGGGAGGGGGAGGAGAGGGGGGGGAGGGACAGGGACGGAGAAGGGCACGGGGAGGCGAAGCGGAACGGGGAGGGGCAGGGGGAAGAGGAGGAGCAGAAACACAGGGGGGACGAGGGAGGAGGAGGCTGACGACGACGACGACGACGACGACGACGACGACGACGACGACGACGACAACGACGACGACAAGAAGATAACGAGCAGGCTGCAAAGAAGAACAAGAAGTATGATAGCTGGAAGAGTGCGAGAGAGAGAGAGAGACGAGGACCTGCAGACGGGGCGCTAGTAGACAGGGGCGTAGGCCAGAGGACCAGCGCCATGGGCAAAGCTCGCCGAAGCTTCTTGAACCCAACTTGTCCATATCCCCACCCCTCACCTTCTGAAGGAGTTGGAACCGAACAAAAACTCGCACCATTCTAAACAAACCCCCATTTCGCTACAGCCCCATTTACCACCAGCCCGTCTGCAAGTCCTTGGGAGAGTAAGAGTGAGAGAGAGAGAGAGGGAGAGAGCGCGAGAGAGAGAGAGAGAGAAAACAAAAGAAAGAGGAGGGGGGAAGAGGGGGGGAAGAGGGGGAGGGGGACAGGCACGAAGACGGCACAGGGAGGGGAAGCGAAATGAGGAGGGGCGTGGAGGTGGGGGAGGAAGAGGCAGAGCAGACACACAAGGGGGGAAACCATTGATAACGACCCCCTGTAGCTGCCGCCGCATTGACCACCAAACCGTCTGCAAGCCCTTGGGAAGGAGAGAGAGAGAGAGAGAGAGAGAGAGAAAAAAGAAAAACAAAAAAAAGGTCGAATCCTGCACCAGCGCCCCGTGAAGCGTGGCGCCTGTCTCCGACGTCGCCACCGGGCCCTGCAGTCGAGGCACTACCAGAGAAGGAACGCCAAATCAGGAACGAAGCCCCTTTCCTGGCCCCAAAAGCGCCTCGGTGCCCGAGGAGGGCTAGAGGAACAGCCATATGGATGAGCTTCAGGAACAGCGAGCCCCTTCTGGACCCGAAGTGGTCCTTGTCTCAGCGTCGTGGCTGGGGCCCCGCACTGGTGCCCCTGCGGTCAACTGCCCCCCCCCCCCAAAAAAAAAACACACCCACACACGGCAGCCCCGCAGCCCTCCTGCAGAGCAGTGCGAACCCGTCGGCGGGAGCTCCCGGCAGGCCTCCCTGCAGGATGCGGGAGCCTGCGCGTTCGCATCCCACGGTCTGGCGGGTGTCCGAGCAGGCGGTCGGGCAGAGCCCGACGGGCGAGTCGGGCAGCGGAGGCTTGAGGCGAGCTTCGCAGACTGCTCAGAGGCTGCGGGCGAGAGCACGGAGTCCCGAGTGAATTGCGGGAACTGCTCGTGCGAGAGCCCGATTTCTGGGCGTCGAGAGCGCAGCGCCTCACTAAATTGCAGGGAAGTCCAAGACGAGGGCGCGATTCCTGGGTGGACTGCGAGGACGTGTCGAGCGCGAGCGCGCTTCCCGAATGAGTTTCGGAATTGCAAGCAGGAGCCGTTGCTGCTGTAGTCCGAGGGCAAAACAGCACAGTTTGAGCACCAAGACTTCGCCTGACCAAGAACACGGTGCGAGCACCGCGAAAGACACTTCAGCCGCAAGACGCATTAGGCACCGGTGGAGGGGGATCAACACAAACTATTTGTTGGAATTAAACTTTCAGCAACAACAGCAAAACGAGGGTGGATGAGAGGGAGGAGAAGCATGAGGACCACGAGGTGGAAAGGACACCGGAGAACAGGAGGAGGCCAAGGATTGGGAGCAAGAGGGCCAGCGCCAGACCGCGAGCGCTGCACGGAGAGGAAGACGGCGACGTCGACGGCGACGTCGACGACGACGACGTCGACGACGACGACGACGACGACGACGACGACGACGACGACGACGACGACGACGACGACGACGACGACGACGACGACGACGACGACGGCGGCGGCGGCGGCGGCGGCGGCGGCGGCGGCGGCGGCGGCGGCGGCGGAGGCGAGAAGGACGACGACGACAGCGACGACGGCAACGGAAAAGGCCGGACGGCACCAAGGCCGGGGCCGGCGGCAGGCTGAGCGCCCTGGCGCGCACTGACATCACTGGCCGCGAGGGGGCGGCGGCAGCGACGCCGGCTGGCGCAGTCGCGTCCACCCTGGGGCGCGGGGCGGGAAGAGGGGGGAGGAGGAAGGGAGGGGGAGCCTCTGACTGAACGACAGTGCAGCCACCAGGAGCCAGGAACCAGAGAGGGAGGAAGGAGGAGGGAAAAGGAGGAGGGGAGAGGGGGGGAGGAGGGGGGGAGGGGGAGAGGGGGAGGAGGGGGAGGAGGGGGAGGAGGGGGGGAGGGGAGACGAGGAGGATAAGGGGGAACGAGGGAGGGGAGGGGGGAGGAGGGAGGACGAGGAAGGAGAGGAGGAGGAAGGAGGACGCAAGAAAGAGAGCGGAGGTGAGATCTGGAGAAGGAGAAGCAGAAGACCAAGCCAACAACTGGATGAACAACCATCGAACGGATATATAGATGTTGGTGGCATTCCCATTGTTTCCGTTATGCTTTCTGCTCCCCGAAGAATCGGCGTGTTTCATCCGGCTTCCCTGACGCCCCGTCATTCTGGAACATTCTTATTTGCAGGGGCGGGGATGGAGGAGGGTAGGGGGGAGAAAGAAGGAGGGCGAGGAGCAGGAGAAGGTGTGGGGAGGGAGTATGCTCTGGGGAGCCGTCTAATCTCAAGTCCGTCTCACCTCCACGAAGAAGAGGATACATGTTCACTCGGCAAGGTGCCCCTGACTTGCCATGGAGAATGGAGAAGAAGAACCGCTTTGGAGCCTCCACGACTCTCACACACATGGCCGAACCGTTTCCTTTGACAGCGAAGGTCAGTCCGAGCCGTCTGAAACAGAGAAGGTATATTTCATCATTGAAGGGGCCCTGGGACACACAAATGAATACACTCAAATCAAAGAATTCCCCATATTTTCCTATATTTTCTGGGTGTTGTCTTCCCCCCCACTTCCCATATGTTCCCATATTTTGGGGGGAATCGACGATTCATTGTGTCTGTGTGTTTTTTCCCCTCCTGAATCATAGCCTCCTCCTCTCAAGCGCAGAGCAGCTCTGACCGGCCCGAGCTGGTCCCCAGACTCCGCCTGGCCCGACACAGCGCAAAAGCGAGCAAAACCGGCACAACATCGGGCTCCTCGTGGCTGCCATGCTCTCGCGCAGCGCTATAGGGTTGAAGACCTCACGGGTCACTGACAGAAGCTTTGGGTGCTTGTCCTGCCTCAGAGGGCGGAGCACCGATGGACAGTGCATGCCGAGGGCCTCCTGAGGCTGGGCTTCTTGCATGGGACCCCACAAAAAACCGCCGACCCTGTCGGCGTGGGAGAGGCTGTTCCGTCTTCTCCACAGCGTCGTCGCCTCTTCTGCTTTCCGACGGCTCCCTACACAGGTCCACACAAAAATTGAACAACGTCGTCCTTCAGTCGAAGGGATGCCCCTGCCCTTGATCCCTTCCACGCCGGGGGGGGTGTCCCGGGGCAACTCCCGGGGGGGGTCCCCCCTCGGTCCCGGGGGGTAGGTCCCACCTCGGTCCCAGGGGGGGGGTCCCCCCTCGGATACGCAGCCCCCCGCATCTCGTCCTGGTGCGTCATGGGGCTCCGATGGCCCTCTGGGGCCGTCTGCGGGCCCTTTGATCCCTTCCCCGCCGGGTGGGGGGGGGTCCCGGGGCAACTCCCGGGGGGGGGTCCCCGCTCGGATACGCAGCCCCCCGCCTCTCATCCTCCTGCGTCCTGGGGCTCCGTTGGCTCTCCGGGGCCGTCTGCGGGCCCTGTCTGCCTACCTTAAGGCTCCTTGGATACTTTTCGCCATTTTTAGACTCTCTTGGCAGCCTCGGCGGGCGCTTTTGAACCTCGCTAGGCGCCGTCTTGGGACCCTCTCGGGTCACTTGAGGGCGCTCTTTGCCTATCTTGGCACTCTCTGGAGCCGTTCCCGAACCCTGGAGGACGCCTCTTGAGCTGTCTTCGGACGACCTTGCAGGCATCTGGCGCCGTCTTCGAGCCATCTGAGGGCATCTTGGAATCCTCTACCTCCATCGCATTCGTCGTCGCTGCCTACAGGGTCGGCGGCATCGGCCGTAAGGCATTCGCAATACCCAATGCAGCGAATGCATGGGTACAGCACCCTGGAATTGGAACACGTCAACCCGTTGATTGAGCACCCTCTCCCTTGAAACAACGACGACGCCACCTCGGGAAGCTTACCACAGCAATCCAGAGAAGGAGAAGAACTACCCTGGCGAAGAACCCAACCCCTTTGTAATCGAGCGGCGAGTACGCATGCGGACCCTGCCACTGGAGCTTCGGTGGAGCTCCCTATGGGGCTACGAAAAGTGTGAGGGGTGTGCCGAATTTGACCCGAGTACGCATGCGGACCCTGCCACTGGAGCCTTCGGTGGGGCTCCCGTGGGGCCACGAAACGTGGGAGGGATGTGCCGAAATGGACCCGAGTGCGCATGCGGACCCTGCCACTGGAGCCTTCGGTGGAGCTCCCATGGGTGCCACGAAAGGTGTGAGGGGTGTGCCCAAATTGACCCGAGCACGCATGCGGACCCTGCCACTGGAGCCTTCGGTGGGGCCCCCAATGGGGCCACGAAACGTGTGAGGGGTGTACCCAAATGGACCCGAGTACGCATGCGGACCCTGCCACTGGAGCCTTCGGTGGAGCCCCCATATGTGGCTACAAAACGTGTGAGGTGGTCGCCGAAGTGACCCCAAGTACGCATGCGGACCCTGCCACTGGAGCCTTCGGTGGGGCTCCCATGGGGCCACGAAACGTGGGAGGGATGTGCCGAAATGGACCCGAGTGCGCATGCGGACCCTGCCACTGGAGCCTTCGGTGGAGCTCCCTCTGGGGCCACGAAACGTGTGAGGTGTGTGCCCAGATGGACCCGAGTACGCATGCGGACCCCGCCACTGGAGCCTTCGGTGGAGCTCCCACATGGGGCCAAGAAACGTGGAGCTACCTGTGGGGCAACGACGACGATGACTACGGTGATAGTGGTGATTGTTTGAATGATGGCGATGATGATGGTGATGATGCTGATGATGATGATGATGATTATGATTATGATGATGACGATGATGCTGATGATGATGCTGATGATGATGATGACGATGATGATGGTGATGATGATGATGGTGATGATGATGATGGTGATGATGATGATGCTGATGATGATGGTAGTGATGATGATGATGACGACGATGACGATGATCATGATGACGATGATGGTGATGATGATGCTGATGATGATAATGATGGTGATTAGGAGGAGGAGGAGGAGGAGGAGGAGGAGGAGGAGACACGCGGTGCTGCGAATTCAAAAACGAGGACCCAAAACACAGCAGGTTTGGGAAAGAACACTTGAGTGACCGCACCCCTTTGGGCTGCCAACGTTGCGCGCCCAGTCCCACGCAATCAGGTGGGATCAGGCGGCGAGTTCATGAAGATCAGCCCGGGTCCTCGTTTCCCCCGCCAAAGGGGTCCAAAGTGCCGTTTGGGAGAATGGAGGCGGTCCAGGAACTCCTCGGCGCTCCTCTCAAGCTCTCGGAACCTCCAAAGACACCACCTGTGCCCTCCAAGGGGTACAACACGATGGAGAGGCCTCGAGAATGCCGAAACTGACCTCAAGGCGCTGCTCCCTCTGCACATGGGTCAGGATGTCCGAGGCACACGCAGCTAGAAAGCCGGGTGCCCGGCCAGGATCCCCTGCTTCGGCTGGGGGACGGCCAGCTTACACGCGAGGGTGAAGGAAGCAACATGACGAATATGATGGTGCTCAGCTCAGTCGGCTTGAGAAACACTCTGGAGGACCCCGTGCAGCACGAAACCATCCGTTTGACAAGAATGCTGCCCGTTCACTGTCGGGCACAATCCGTGGTAGAGTGTTCGGGTGAATACGAGTATGGGCCCGCCGTTCCTTCGTTGTCCTGCTCTTGCATAAGACGTGGCGAGTTCTGGCTGGGACTCCACACTGTGCACAATCATGAGGCACATCAGGATGCATGTGGCGCAGGCGATCCGGGCTCGGCACTGCACCGACCACGCCGCCATACCCACATGCGCTGGGCGCTAGGACGCATGGCCTCAAGATGGCCCAGGCGACCACCAGAACGCTCAACCCCCCAGAAGGCCTCTATGGGCAAGAAAAGCCCATCCCTCCTGCGTTGGGTCTCGTTTTGCATGGAGCACTGCTCGCGCGTCTCCTCCTTGTCGTCCTCCTCCTCCGCCTCCTCCTCCTCCTCATCATCATCATCATCATCATCAGCAGCATCAGCATCAGCATCAGCATCATCATCATCAGCAGCATCATCATCATTCTTCTTCTCCTCGTCCGCCTCCTCCCTAGCTCTTCCCTGTCGCAAAGGCGTGCCGGGCGGGTCGGGCGTTTCGCCTGAGTCGATTGCCTCAACCATGTATGATCCTGAAGCTTTCGCTTTGCAACAGCTTCACGGATGAAGGGTAAGTGGTTTTCACGATATGGCTTTCACCATCGCGCCGCGGACATTCCTCTTTCAAGTTTGCAGCACTCTCAAGGATGGAAGGCTTGTCCTTTTTCTAAATGTGGATGTCGCCTTAGCGCCACGCACATTCGTCTTAACCTCTGCAAGGCGTTTCAATGGAGGGCGGGTGGTTTTTTTAATGGGAGTCTCGCCGTAGCGTTGCGCACATTCGACTCAAAAGTCTGCAACAGTTTCAAGGATGGCGTGCGGTTCCCTCTCAAAATACAGTTATCGCCAGAGAGCCGCGCACGCTCGTCTTCAAACTCTGCAGCAGTTTCAAAGATTAGTATGGCTGAAGTGCTGGGAACAATGCTTTGGCACGAGCTGGGACGGTCAGGACGCAACAGTCACGTGGATTCGCGGCGTTGAAGTGCGAAGGCACGGCTTATGACTGTCAAAACGCAACAGCAACGCTGATCCGTGGAGCTGAACTCCCAGGAGTTGTGCTTGGTACGATTGAGGACTCTCAGCCGGTTGATTTCTAATGGGCCACTTCGCGCAGTGGAAAATCGTTGTGATAACCTGTGACAAGAACTTGGACGAAGGTTTTATTGCAAAATCGTTGATATGTCTTGGGCTTGCACTGACCCTCGCCATCCTCTTCCATCCCTTTTCCTTATAAATCCGCCACCGGGCCGCTGGGCACGGAGTGGGCGTGTCCTCAGGTTCGTTGCCCAATCCCCTGAGCCTCAGTCCTCGACCCTGCAGGTTGTTCAAAGACCCGGACCCCGAGATCACAGATCTCCTGGGGCTTGCTGCGTGCCCACCGCGACGACGACGACGACGACGACGACGAGGATGAGGACGATAACGATAACGATAACGACGACGACGACGACGACGACGACGACGACGACGACGACAACGCCGACGCCGACGACGACGACGACGAAGAGGAGGAGTGCCAGGAGGAGAAGGCGGCAGCCAGCACGGGGGGCCTGTGCCAAGAGTGCAGGTGGCCGTCCGCCGGGGCGGCGCCGGGGACCAGCAGCGAGGCCCTCGAAACGGGCGCGCCGGGGGGGCAGCAGCAGCGCGGACACCGCCCTCGCGAGGATCGAAGGCGGGGAGAGCATCGAGGTTCGAGGATCGAGGATCCGGATCATGCGAGGCACTTCTTCGACTCCTTCATCTTAGCCCCTCGGGGGGACGAGAGGAGCGCCAAAAGTTTCTCTTGGTGCCGTTGTTGTTCTTCTTCGAGTGGGTAGGCAGGGAGAGCACCGAGGTTCGGGGGTCGAGGATCGAGGTCATCCACAGCATGTCTGGCTGTTGCTCGGGGCTGGGGCCTTCGGGGGGGCAGCTCGGGCGGCGGGGAGGGGGGAGCCTGGGGGAAAGCGTCGGCGGCAACTCGTGGGAGCCTCCCATACCAACTTGTCGGCTTCTGCGAATCGACGCTAATCGACGCTGAATCGACGCCGATCGACGCTAACCAACGCTGAATCGGCGCCGCCTCGTCGACTCCCAGGCGCTAATCGACGCTAGTCGACGCCAAAGATGGAACTGAGAGGGTACACAAGGCTCCCATGATTTGCTACCGGGGAGCCCCGCCAGCTTTCTGGGGCTGAGGCGGTCCAGGGCACGTCCTTTTTCAGCCTTCCCGTGGAGGGAGGGGCGCATCACTGCTCTTCACTACTGCACACCCCATTTCCCCACCCAGCAAGCGAGGCACCCAGGACCGTGCCGCCACCTCCCCCCGCAGTCCCTGGTGAAGAACAGTGCAGAGTGCGCTGCGCACCAGAATCTGGACCACGCGCCGGACGCCCCGCGGTCACTCTGGATTGGTCCTTGGCTGGGCCTGTAGAGGTGCCCCCCACGGTGCCTGCTGTGTCCGGGACCACCGCCCCTTGCCAGCAGAAGTGTAAGGCTGACCTTTGCCAGGGACGGCGGCGGGTGGGGCAGCATGCTGCCTGCTCCGCGCAGGCCTAATACCCCTGTCAAATATCCTGGCGAAGGACCCAACCATATGCAGTTGTGAGTATCGCAATTGGGAGTCTCTTCTTCGGTGGCGCTCCCTATGGGGCCACGAACCGCATGAGGGGTGTGCCGAAATGTGGCGGGGCACACAACGCAAAGGATTACGATTGATCTGATTACGAGAGAAAGAACGCGGGTGAGTCAGAGCGCGAGGGAATCTGAGTATGAATGGGTCTGCGCGCGAGTGAATATATTTGCATGAATGCGATCATGGAACCGCCTAGTGTAAGTGTCGAGCATGCCTGTCCGAACACACGTGACACTCGGCGTGGCCGCCGCAGGCAGCTTCCGCGGGAACCCCGACGGCAGCGTCCGCACGTCGCGACGCCCATGTCGGCACGCCTCTTGCGAGGATCGCGCCCGCTTTCGGCTCTTCTTTTCCTTCCTCTTTGCCCGCGCACTCCAAAATCCAAGGCTGCGGGCGCAGCGCAGCGCGGAGTCCCCGCGACGCGCGCTGGTCGCCCCGGGCGGGGTCCCAGCGACGCGCGCGGGTCGTCCGCTGCGCGAAGCAGAGAGAGCTGACTAGCTAACTGGCTGGCTGATAGCGGGCAAGTCTCTGACCGCTGGGCAGAGCGACGACGGGCGAACGAGGCGCCGGGCCCCCCGCAGCACGGAGTTCCCGCGACGCGCGCTGGTCGCCCCGAGAGGGTCCCAGCGACGCGCGCGGGTCGTCCGCGGCGCGAGGCCAAACAATTAGTCGGGCAGTCGAGAGAAGGCGCGGCTCGGGGGAGACGCTCCTCAGGTCAGGCCTCGCGGATGAACTCGGTGAAGCCGAGCTCCCTGGCGAGGGCCGTCGCTTCCCTCCTGCACCGCTTCGTGCGCGCCGCAAACTGCTCCAGCTGCTTCCGCAAGCCCTGCGGCGGCCCTGCCAGGAAGAACTCGATGCGCGGCGCCCGCATGAGCAGGAGGTCCTCGTGGCGCGTGGCGCGCGAGAGCAGCACGTAGAGCTCCAGCCACCAGTCGTCGTCCTCCTTCTTGCCGTTCCCTACCTCGTGGCGGCCGCAATCCAGGATCACGCCTGGGCGACGTCGACCGAGGGAGCAGCGCGCCGGGCAGCCGACGGCCCAGGGCGAGAGTCCACAGGACCGAGAGATGGTCTGGCCGCGGACTGCTCGCGCCCCGGAGGTCTGGCCGCCCCCGGAGCGCCGTTCCCCCGCCCCGTCGCCTTCGCGCATGGTGCGCCCCTGGCACGCCACCGTGGTGATGACCCTGCCGTGCGAGAAATGCGGGGGGTGTGCCGAAATGGGTGGGGGTGACGCATGCGGGCGGCGGCACTGAGGCCTTCGGTGGAGCTCCCTATGGAGCCACGAAACGTGTGAGGGGTGTGCCGAAATGGGTGTGGGTGACGCATGCGGCCGCGGGCACTGGGGCCTTCGGTGGAGCTCCCTATGGAGCCACGAAACGTGTGAGGGGTGTGCCGAAATGGGTGTGGGGGACGCATGCGGCCGCGGGCACTGGGGCCTTCGGTGGAGCTCCCTATGGAGCCACGAAACGTGTGAGGGGTGTGCCGAAATGGGTGTGGGGGACGCATGCGGCCGCGGGCACTGGGGCCTTCGGTGGAGCTCCCTATGGAGCCACGAAACGTGTGAGGGGTGTGCCGAAATGGGTGTGGGGGACGCATGCGGCCGCGGGCACTGGGGCCTTCGGTGGAGCTCCCTATGGAGCCACGAAGCGTGTGAGGGGTGTGCCGAAATGACACCCCCAGTGGGACCTTCGGTGGAGCTCCCCATGGGGCCACGAAACGTTGTCCTGGGTGGGGGAGACGCATGCGAACACCCCTACTGGGACCTTAGGTGGAGCTCCCTATGGGGCCACGAAACGCTGTCCTGGGTGGGGGAGACGCATGCGAACACCCCCACTTGGGCCTTCGGTGGAGCTCCCTATGGGGCCACGAAACGCTGTCCTGGGTGGGGGAGACGCATGCGAACACCCTTATTGGGACCTTCGGTGGAGCTCCCGATGGGGCCACGAAACGCTGTCCTGGGTGGGGGAGACGCATGCGAACACCCCTACTGGGACCTTCGGTGGAGCTCCCTATGGGGCCACGAAACGCTGTCCTGCGTGGGGGAGACGCATGCGAACACCCCTATTGGGACCTTCGGTGGAGCTCCCTACGGGGCCACGAAACAGTGTCCTGGGTGGGGGAGACGCATGCGAACACCCCCACTTGGGCCTTCGGTGGAGCTCCCTATGGGGCCACGAAACGCTGTCCTGGGTGGGGGAGACGCATGCGAACGCCCCCAGTGGGACCTTCGGTGGAGCTCCCTATGGGGCCACGAAACGTGTGAGGGGTGTGACGACATGGGCGGTGGGGACGATGATGAAGACGATGATGAGGATGAGGATGTGGATGAGGATGATGCTGCAGATGATCATTCTGACGGAAGAGAGAAGAGGAGGGGGAGGAGGGAGGAGGGGGAGGAGGAAGGAGGAGAGGAACGCGGGTCACCGTCTCTTCAAAACGAGGACCCAACACCACAGGATGGTTGGGAAAAAAGCACGTGCACAGGGAGTGCGGCTGCATTCCCCCACACACACACACACACACACACACACACACACACACACACACACACACACACACACACACACACACACAGACACAATGCATCATACTCGCAAAGCCGCCGTCGTTTTGCATTGGCTTTCGAGGAGAACTGCGGGCGGTCGACATATAGCCCAATGTGGTGCACCTGGCGCGCATGCCGCAGCTGGCGAACGCGGCGCACCTCTGGCTGGCGTCTGCATTGATTCCCGATGGCTGTCGACGGCGGCCCCTGCCTGCGCTGAGACTCGGGTGCTACTGATGTAGTGGGGGGACGGGTGGGAGTGAGCGACGCGGCTTGCGGCGTGGGGTAGCCTGACACCTCCCGCTATCCCCTGCCCGTGGGTCTGGCCAGGCCCCCTGCGAGGGGTTCGAACGTCCAAGATACCCCCAAGATGATTTCGAGATAGCCTCGGAGAGCCCAGGATGGCCCCCTAGATGGCACAAGACAGCCCAGCATGGCTCAAGATGGCTTCTCACATGCCTCCAAAAGGCCTACTCCCGTTCCCGTCTCTTCCCCTCCCTCGTTCTCAACCCTCTCTGTAAAGTCCACGTCCTGCCTGCCCAGCACAGTCAAGCTCCACCCCGCCCGCCCCCTCGTTGCCCCAACAATCCCCTCCTCCTCCTCCTCCTCCTCCTCCTCCTCCTCCTCCTCCTCCTCCTCCTCCTCCTCCTCCTCCTCCTCCTCCTCCTCCTCCTCCTCTACCTCCACTCCCCCTCGTTTCCTCCCCCCGTGCCCTGTCTAACCCTGCTCTTCATCGCTCATCCCTTCTCCTCCTCCTCCTCCTCCTCCTCCTCCTCCTCCTCTCATCATCATCATCATCATCATCATCATCATCATCATCATCATCATCATCATCATCATCATCATCATCATCATCATCATCATCATCATCATCATCATCATCATCATCATCATCATCATCATCATCAGCATCAGCATCATCATCGTCATCATCATCATCATCATCATCATCATCATCATCATCATCATCAGCAGCAGCAGCAGCAGCAGCAGCTGCAGCATCATCAGCATCATCATCAGCATCATCATCAGCAGCATCATCATCATCATCATCATCACATCATCATCATCATCATCATCATCACATCATCATCATCATCATCATCATCATCATCATCATCATCATCATCATCATCATCATCCTGCTCAACCTCCTGCTCCGCATCCACTTCCGTCTCCTCCTCCTCCTCCGCATCTGTTTCTTTTTCCTCCTCCTCATCATCCTCATCCTCATCCTCCCTCCTCCCTCCTCTCCTTCCTCTTCCTCCTCCTCCTCCTCCTCATCATCATCATCATCACCACCATTACCACCATCATCTCATTCATACGAGTACCATACATCCCATCATTAACTCATTCGGAATATTATCATATGTCCAATTCGAGAGCATGACGCCACTCGCCAACATAATGTGTGCCCTCATCCTCGGTATCCTCGTCCTCCTCCTCCTCGTCCTGTTCATCCTCATCCTCCTCCTCATTTTCCTCCTACTCGTCCTCTAAGTCATTCTCCAAGTCCTCCTCCAAGTCCTCCTCCTCCTCCTCTTCCCCCTCCTCCTTCTCCTCCTCCTCCTCAGCTGTCGTTTCCCGCAGGGGCGGCACCAGCCCAGAAGTCGCGAACGTGACTCGCGCCTCCAAGGACGACCAAACCGAACCGAACATCCTCCTCCTCCTCCTCCTCCTCCTCCTCCTCCTCCTCCTCCTCCTCTTCCTCCTCCACCACTCCTCTTCCCGAGGCCGGTCGAAAGGGCGGGCCCAGCGTGTCGCATGAGACCTCCTCACCACTTATGATCCTGGAGGTCACAATTGCAACAGCTTCACGGATGCAGGGCGCATGGCTTTCAAGATGCGTTTGTCGCCGTAGCGCCGCGCACATCCCTCTTACAAAAATTGCAACAGCTTCTCGGATTGAGGGCGGGCGGTTTTCAAAATGTGGCTCTCGCCTGCTCGACGCGCACATCCGTCTTGAAAAAATGCACGAGCTTCACGAACGGAGGACAGGTCGTTTTCAACATGTGGTTCTCGCCTCGGGGCCGTGCACACTCGTCAGAAAAAATGCAAGAGCATCACAGATGGAGGACGGTTCTTTTTCAAAATTTGATTTTCGCCTTAGCGCCACGCAATTTCGTTCTCAGAGTTTATAACAGTTCCAGGGATGATCAGGGCGAACGTCCCGAAAATGGCGTGTTGGTGCAATGTCGGACAGTCAGGGCGCAATAACGATGTTCCTTCGTGGATGTGAAGTCCCAGGAAGGGGGGTTCTGGTACGATTCCGGATCGTCAGCACGCAACAGTAACGGTCATTCACGGCGTTGAAGTCCCAGGGAAGATATTCTGGCACAGTTGGTATCCAACGGGCCACTTCCGTAAATGAGAATGAATCCTTGTCGGTGCCTACGAGAAGAAACCTTGGACGGAGGGGCTGGAATTATCGTAGATGGGCCGTGGGTTTACATTGGTCCTCCCCCTCCTGCTCCTCCCTCCATCTCCTCCTCCTCCTCCGCCTCCTCCTCCTTCTCCTTCTCCTCCTCCTCTTCCTCCTCATCCTCCTCCCCCTCCTCGTCCTCGTCCTCCTCCTCCTCCTCCCTCCTCTGCCTCCTCTCCCTCCTCTTCCTCCTCCTTCTCCTCCTCCTCCTCCTCCTCCTCCTCCTTTTCCTCCTCCATCCTCCTCCTCCTCCTTCTCCTTCCTCCTCCTCCTCTCTCCCCCTCCTGCTGCTCATCCTCCTCTCCTCCCACCTCCTCCCTCCTCCTCCTCCTCCTCATCATCATCATCATCATCATCATCATCATCGTCGTCGTCGTTCGTCGTCCTCATATCATCATCATCATCATCATCATCATCATCATCATCATCATCATCATCATCATCATCATCATCATCATCATCATCATCATCATCATCATCGTCCTCGTTCCCCTTCCCGCCCCCGACACACATGTTCCTCGTCGTCGTCGAAAACTTTGACGTTGCGCTCGGCCTTCCTGCCCCGTCTGGTTGCCGGCGGCCCGACCCCCACCGCGTCCTGCTGACGACGTGCCCTGCCCAGGCCTGGCAGTATCGGGCGGCTGCCGCGCCCTGCCCGCCACGGCCAGAGGGGGGGAGGGAGGCGGAAAGGAGGGGCGGCGAGGGACGGGGGGGAAAGGAGAATTGAATAGGCCTCCATACATATATATATATATATATATATAAATGTATATATACATACATAAATATTCATAGATAGCCTCGATGAACCCTAGTGGCGGTGCGAAGGCGGCAAAACAGGGGCAGGAAATGACGGAGATGCCTTTTTGACGGGTGGCGATTTTGGGAACACTGGCGCAGGGCTCCTGCCACTCCCAGAAGCGTGAAGCCCTAGTGTGGTTGGTGGGTTGTGCAAAACCGGCCGAGCGCCTGAGCCCAAATGGCCATGAACGTCGGGCAGAGTGGGGGATACACGTACGTGTCGCTGCGAGCGCTGGGGGGGTCCATCCCTCTTACCGCGAACACTTCCTTCGGCCTGGCCGCCCACCGTTTGCCCAGCCCCGCGGGCAAGGCAGGCCGAGGGAAGAGGCCCAGTTCACCCCGCTCCTTTTCTGTCGGTTCTTGCGACACCAATGTCTCCACCGATACCGCACCGCACACGCGCGAGTGAGTAGCGCGCGCGCGATCTCAAGACCCTACCCATCCCCGGTAGAGCCCACCGCGATTGAAGCACCCCTCCCGTCCTGGACCCCCACCCACGCCCGCAGCCGAAGGACGGCGTCCACGGGCTGGAAGGGGGCCCCCGCCGTGGCACAGCCCACCGGAAGGCGAGGCTTCAAGACTATCCCGAATGCACGCCATAGTCCCCGCGATCGGGCCCCCGTCCCGAAGGGTCGTCTGGGACACCGACACTGGGGCGTGCCCGAGCGGAGCTGCCACCAAGGCTCCAGTCGCGCACGTCGCCCGCGGCGCCCACGGTCGCCTCCCGACGCGGGCGCCCTCCCCGCGGCGGCTGTCCTCTTCTCGACGATCGCATCGAAAAGCTCCTGGGGGCCTGCATCACCTCGTCGACCACGCGCCACCTCCGGTCCGCGGCCGCCACGTGGATCTCGAGGGACTCGCCAAAGTCCGTCATCGACACGTTGCTGAAGTCGTCTGCCTCCCGATGCCTCCTCGCGCGGGGGCAAAACCAAACCCAGCGACATCTCGCGCGACCTCAGCTCCTCCAAATGCACGATGAGAACGACTGTCACCGGCCACTTGGATATGGCTGGACACCGCGCAGGCGCCTCCTAGGTTGCCCACCCACCCCGCCATCTCGAGGCGCGCCCTTTGGCGGAGCTTCCCAGGCTCGAGAAAAATCTCACGCAGGGGAACGCGCCAAGACACTCCAGCGCTACGACGACCCTGTCCGGGCCGTCTGCCTTGGCCCACGCCCATGCGGCCAGGCCTTCTCCTCCTCCAGCGCTTGCCACATGGGCCCCTCGGGCGCCGCCGTCCGGCCGCTCTTCCAAGCCGCCTATTCAGCAGCGGCCCGCCTCTGCCATCGCGCCCGAGCGGATAGGCCCAGCGGTCTCGGTGTCGAACTTGATGGGCGCTCGCAATCTCAGCCATCCTGCCATCCGCTTGCCGAACCACGTCAGCACGAGCCTGTTCGCCCAAGCGCCCCCGAGCCCCCGGAATGCACCGCGTGGAGGCTCCTCGCCGGCGCCCCCGAGCTGCCCCGCGCGCGGGCCCACCGAGCGGCCCGCGTGAGATCCCCCTCCCACGCTGGACGGTGGGCCGCTCGGCCAGTTCGCCGATGCCCTGCGCCACCCATACACGCAGCAGCGCGGGCCAAGCCGCGGCGCCCGCGGCCTTGCACGCGCCATCGCCCCTGCTGCGCCCCAGCAACTCGAGCCCCGCTGGGGGCAGCGGCCCCAGGCACTCGCCGTTCACGTTGCACTGCGGGCCCCCGCCGCGGAGCCGTGGGTAGGTGGTCAGACCCGGAGACCGCCCGGCGAGGCGCGCCGGCCCTGGGGACGGCGCGCCGCGCCCATGCTGCCCGGGTGGACGGCCGCGGCGCGCACGCCGTCGAGGTCGAGGAGTTCGCCCACCACTGGCAGCTGCCATATACTGACGGGGCGCTGCCCGTAAAGGTTACCCGTCTAGACGGCGCCGAAGTCCTCGCGCTGCTCAAGGAGGCCAACTGCATGCCCGCTGCTCGCCGGCCGGACCGTCAGCGCTCGGAGTGTGAAGTCGGCGAGCTGGTCGGACACCTGGCTCATCAGCTTCTCGCGCCCCTCCAGCCTGGGTAACACCCACGGGCGCTGCGCTGATCGCAGCGGGCGCGGGGCTCAGCGGCTTGCCCACACCACCCGCGACCACAAATCGCGGGGCGACGAGGCCACGACACGCCCCACTCGCCCACGGCCAGCCGCCTGAGGCAGTCGCCCTGCAGCCCCGCGCGCGAAGAGGTCGGCGCCATCCGACCGGGCCAGGTCCACGTCGTTCAAACGTGCTGGGGCGCCGAGGCGGCGCGCGGAGGCTGCGGCGCCTGCCCGACGCTTTTGCCCTACAAAGAGGTAGCACCGCCAGCCGCATCTGCACCCGGCGGCCTGCAGCCTGGCTCCTGGCAAGCGACTGGACCCTGGCGCCCCCCCCCTCGTCTCTTCTCCCTCGGCATCTTCCTCCGCAGGGGTGCATGGCCATGCCTCTCTATCCCGGACCTCGCGAGCGGCCGTCAGCATGACCTTGCGGACAAGGCGCCTGCCCCGAGGGGTCGCGTGGAGCCCATCCGCGGCTCGAGCTGCGGGGGCGGCCCGTTTCGCACAGCGAAAAACGCGGACCGCCCTGATGCGAAGCCCTGCGGGCCGCCTTGTACATGCACCTGAAGCAGATATGATTGCCGTCTGGCGTCTGCGCGGAAGGGCTCGCGTCCTGGCACTTCGCCGCGGCCGCCTCCCCTGCCCGCGATGTGCTTGCGCGACTCCTTCGGCGGACTGTCGTGGAGCGCCCGCTGCTGCGGCGGCCGCGACTGCGGCGGCGCCTGAGGTTGCTGGCGCGCCGCCAGGCTGGCGAGGGCCAGCGGCACCGCGAAGCAGCGCGAAGCAGCGCCCCTTGACCCCTGGATCGACAATAGCCCGCTGGAGCGCCGCGTGAAACCAGAGTCGGCCTTGCTGCAGCAGCTGCCCGGTCTTCTCGCGCATGCGTTCCTCGCACTGCAGTACCCAGGCCCACGGCGGGCGCGCGACCACGTCGCCCTGCGCGCTCATCGCCGCGAAGCTCCACACGTGCCCCCCAAGCAGACAGTCCAAGCACGACTGGAAATGTCGTGGGCCGCAGCCTTGCAGCTACTGCCGGTTGGCGCGGCACTCGCCGAACACGCGGACCCCCGTGCCCATCAACCCGATGCGCTGTCGCAGCGCCTCTGGGCCCCGCGGGGTCTCGCCCTTTGACGGCGGTCGCCCTCCTGAGTTGCATCGCCCCTCAGCTGGGCCAAAACAGCATCAGGAGGTCAGGATCCTCGCCCTCCTCGATTGAATGGACCGCTGCGAGCGCCCCTGCCCACACATCCGCGATCGATATCCGTGTGGCTGGCCTCGAGGTAGGATCTTGCTGGTACCTGGTCATCCTTGAGCTTCTGGTGCGTCATATCGAAGGCAAGCCTCCTCGCCCACTGGTCCGGGGCGCTCAGCGGCCCGATCACCTTAACGGACGTCGAATTCGCTGTCCATCTTCTGCTGCTGCTGCTGCTGCTGCTGCTGCTGCTGCTGCTGCTGCTGCTGCGGCTGCTGCCGCCGCCGTCGCCGCTGCCGCCGCCTCTGCCGCCGCCTCCGCCGCCGCCTCCGCCACCGCCTCCGCCTTCGCCTCCTCCTCCTCCTCACCTCTCCTCCTCCTCCTCCTCCTCCTCCTCCTCCTCTCTCCTCCTCCTCCTCTTCCTTCTCCTCCTCCTCCTCCTCCCCTCCTCCTCCTCCTTCCTCCTCCTCCTCCTCCTCCTCCCTCCTCCTCCTCCTCCTCCTCCTCCTCCTCCTCCTCCTCCCCTCCTCCTCCTCCCCCTCCGCCGCCGCCGCCGCCGCCGCCGTCGTGGCCGTTGCCGCTGCTGCTGCTACTGCTGCTGATGCTGCTGCTGCTGCTGCTGGTCGGTCCTCGCGCGCGCCGCCAGCCACGCGCACGCCAGCGCTGCGAAGCGCACGCGCTGCCCGAGCCCTGTCGACACGTCGACGTTGGGCTGGTCTCGGGCGAACTCCCTGACGTCCTGGCCTAAATCCATCGCGGCGGAGAACTTCCCCAGGCCCTCCACGCCCGTCACCTGCGCCCGCGCGCACAAGGGCACGTCTTTCTTATCGAGGAGGAGGCTCAGGTCGGAGCTCGGCGATGCGAGCGCGCTTGCCTTTCCTCGGAAAGGGCCCGGAGCGGTATGCTCTCGAGCCGCCCCTCGATCGCAAGTCACGCTGGCGAGGCAGAGGGTAGGCCAACAGGAACCAAGCGTGCCTCGGTCCTGCCCGAGCGAAGTAAGGCGGGCAAATGCCCGATCGCGCGACGACCCAACAGGCCCGACCAACCTGCCCGCGGCGGAATTGAGGGGGACGGAACGGGCGCCGCCCCTGTGGCGGGCTGTCCACTGGTAGACGGCAATCCAAAAAGCGCGGCAACGGATTTTCCGCCGAGCACGACCGCCCTCGAACCGAGCCCGGCGCAGGCTGCGGGCAGACTCGGCCCCCTGGCCACGCGACCGCTGGCACACCTGTCATGGGCGAGGCCCCAGCCCCGACAGGCTGCGTGGAGCCCCACCGATGTTGGCGCCTACTCCGCGGGCTGCCCCCCGGCTCTCCCGCCAGCGCGCGGGCGTAGCTCCCGCCGCGACGGGTCGCTTGGAACCCCGCCGCCGCTGGCACCCTCGCTGCTTCGGCATCCCCGCCAGCGCGCAGGCGTGGCTCCCGTTCCGAAGGGTTGCGTGGAACTCGCTGCTGCTGACACCCTCCTCAGCGGGCTGATTTCTGCTGATAAGAAGCGTCGGAGCCCCCCAGAGCTATCAACGCTCGACGGGCTCTCCGAGCCGTCGCCCTGGCTTTCGGGGACCGCCATCGCCACCTGGTCCGCGATGTGGCGCCAGCGCACCTGGCAGACCA